AGGGAGGAGAAAGAGAGAGAGAAAGAGGAGAGAAGGAAGAAGAGAGAGGAGGAGGAACGAGAAAAGAGAAAAAGAGAGAGAGAGAAAAGAAAAAAAAAAAACAAAGAAGAAAAAAAAGGAAGAAAAGATGAGATAAGGTACAAAGAAACTCATCAGGGAGATGCGGAGGCGTCTGAAAGCTGCTTCGTTGTCTCGCTGCTAAGTTATCAGTGCAGTCTGTTGATTTCTCATGTTGTTAACTAAACTCTACGTTTCTTCAACATCACTCTTGGGTTGATTTTTCCCTTTTTCGGCGTGCAGGATAGGATGGCCCAGGAAGCTTTTAGTCAGACCTTGGCCTCCAGCATTTCCAAAAAAAGTTTGTGCATGGGGACTTTGCCTTCCAGTTTGATGTTGTAGAAGTGCTGCACCGCCTTGGTGGAGGTCTGCCTCAGGAGGGGCAGCGTCATCAGCATCTTGCCAGCCCTGCGAGGGTCTTCCATGTGCTGGCCGGCCTCGTAATCCTGCAGGGCCTCGTGGAGGACATCCTGGAGCTTCTGAACGGCTTCGACATCTTCTATGTGCATGGAGTCTGCGCGACAAGGCAGAAGTACAAACAACAACATTAATAATAATAAACACCTCTGCGGACGAGAGTTATGAAACGGCCGTCTTATTCTTCAACCTCTCTACGCTGTGATTTCCTCGGAGACGCTCACATTTCCAAAATCTCAATTTTATTTTTCTAAATTTCACTCTAGTAGATCATTTCCAATACTGACTTAGAACATGGGAATGACTACAAAAGATCCAATATTTAAAACACTAGGGTTTTTTTTTCCCCTCCTGAGACTGAGCAAGAGAAGGCTTTGTTTTAACAGATTATAATCTTAGCTGTTCATATATATATATGTATATATATATATATATATATATATTGTTCTTATTGTTTAATTTATGTATTATTTATGTATGTATTCATTCATTCAACAATTATAAAAGGCCATCTATTTAAAAAGTTATTCTAAGTGCTGTTGAGGGAAATTCAGATCTTGTGTACAAAAAGCCCATATTTACCAAAAGGCAAAAAAAAAAAAGTTGATAACCAAAATTTTAAGAACTCCATGTATATACACTGACTCTAGCACTATGTTCTGTACACAGAAATCCCAATAAATTGCTCATCCTTTCAGGATTTTTAGTGTACTGTTAACAGTTCATTAACGCCTCCTTACGTAGTCCGCTTCTCTACAGAAAAACAAATGAACTCTTTAGATTAATGAATTCTGAAATACTTTTCACACTTGTGAAGGTGAACTTTGCCCTTAAGTGACTAATTTGAAAATCGAATTTAGTCAAGCAAGGAAAGGGTTAACAGGGTTGCCACAATTATTCTTGCAAGAAATGTGAGATGTGGAAGAAAAAAAAATAAAAGTTACAGCCCTAGCTCTAAAACAGACACTTAATTATATACAAGTTTGAATCATTTAGCACGTTTTATTGATTCTGATGACAGTTTATCTGTTAATTACACATAATGGAGTCTTTGGGGGATTCTTCATGTTTAATAATTCTAGTTCTCTGAGAATGCAGAGCTCTAAGATATATGTAGTTAGCCTAATCTTTCCTGTAATTCAAATATCAGATCACATGCACAAAAAGAGAGAGGACATGTAGTTTACAATCAAGTAGCTAAACATATGATCAAAAAAATTATAAGAAAGTAATTAAAAATTGATGGCTATAACCAGTAAATATTCTTAAAACTTCTTTGTATTTTGTTTCCTGTTTTTCCCTTTACATTGTCACTTTAAAGTCATTTCATCACATCATTGGTGAACTGACCACCTTTCACCTGGGGTGGTTAATAACATGTTTCTTTAAAAGAGTTGTGAATAATCTGGATTATAGCTGTTTATAAGTGTTTACTACCGAAGACTCGATTTCTGCCTGGTGGAGCCAAAAGAAGAATTCTTCCAGGTTGGAAATGTTGATGGTGGGTCCTGGAGTGGAACTCGAGATTTCCCCCAACATTTACCCTGGCCTTTCCTGATGGAATATTTCTACCTAAGCTTCCTCCAATCTGGTTCCTTTCACCCTAGTAACCCCATCCACTTCCTGCGTGACTTCTCTTAGAAACAAGCACACAGAAATTCCAAAGTTGTCCAGGGGTGGGTAATGTAAATGACAAAAACATCGTCTTGGAGATGACAATGTATTTTGATATTTTTCTCTCTATGCACTGAAATGCTGTCTGAAGGGAAAATGGTGGGCATGGACACACACTAATGGTGAATGTCTAGGTACAAAAAAGACTGACCCTGGACATAAGGGAATGGTAATGAAATAGACTTGGGTACCCAACTTGTCCTGGGACTAAAAGTGAGCACGAGAAGTGAAAACAGAGGGGAAGAAATGGATGAGGAAAAAAGGAACTTCCATTCTTTACAGACAAAATTGAAACAAAATAACTATTTTCCAATCAGATTGATTTTTGAAAAAGCAGAATAAATATTATAAATATACTATTTTTAAGTCCTCATTTTGGGTGAGGCCCCTGATGTGACCATTGCCTCATTCACCTCCCAACCTCTCTGCAAGCAGGTGGCACTGCTACCAAGTGTCAGAGTAGGCTTAAACTCAGATTTCTTTGAATCACAGTGTGCTGCCAAAATTTGTAACAGTGGACATGGTAGCCCCACCCTCCCTTTTTTTTTAACAGTTGAAATGATCCTCTGAGCTCATCTCACTCCACCTTCCATCTTCATCAAGAATCTTCTCTACAATATTCTAATGAAGACATTGCCAATTGTATGCAGAGCATCTTACTTTATAAGGGACAGAACTAATTGTTAAAAATGTCTTCTTCATGTTTTCCCAAATCTGCCTCCAACTTCCATCCTGGGGTCCTGGTTCTAACTACTGGAACAGTACAAGATGTATTTCCTTCTTCAACATGGCGGATCTTTAAATGCTTGAAGTCAGCTGTACAGTCACCTCACCTCTGACCCCTGTCCCCCTCAAGTCTTGCCTTCCCCACTCCTCTTGCCCGCCAGGAGATATATTACAGGATGTCACAGGAAATGAGGCGAGAACAAATAGCAGAGAGATATGCTCACAAACAGCAATTAAGACTTCAAACTATTCTTTAAAGGCTATGATTTAGCTTGAGCGATTTAAAATGATTTAATCAAATTACTATGATAATTTAACTTCCCATTTACAGAAAAGATTCTAACTCGTTTTAGCTTTGCCCATTCTCGGATCTGCTTATACTTTAAATGCAAACTCACTAAATCTGAACTATTTAATTAGACTATGATTCAGCTGGCAGACTGCTGAAGAAAATATTAATCTCCATTAGGGATCCTAGTTCAAGTTCTGGCTCCGTGGCTTTCATCTCCGTTTTGTTCTTTGGGCTAAATTTATACATTTATGCCAAGCTCAATAGGACTGGTATTACTTTATGTAATTATTTAACTTTGGTTGTCGGTACTGAGTTGTTTTTTTTTTTTCCACTTTATGTTTTAAAGGAAATTGCCCCAGCATTTGTGCTAATGGGAGCCAGCTAAACTTAATAATGGAAATCCTAGTTTTATGAACTAGACAGGGCAGAGCTGAACATTAAAAATGCCACGTGAGTTTAAAAAAAAAAAAAAGACAGGACGCCCTGGCCCAAGACTACATTTATTAAATCAAAAAGTTGGAGCTGGATGCAAAACATCAGTATTTTTTAAAATCTAGGTGATTCCATGGCTAAGCCAGGGTTGAGACCCACTGAAGTAGACACTAAGATAAACAAATGCTATTCTAAAAATAATCAAGATTTCAAAAGATAACCAGAGTTCAAATGATATGAATAGTGCCACTCAGATATGAAGTTTCAACATCCAATAATAAAATAGAACTCTTTGGTTAAATTCCAGTATTTCCCCACGTAAAGTGGAATCCAAATGGGACATGTCTAGCTCAGATCATTTATTTTGAGAAGACAGCTAAATATCCTTATACCTATAGCTGCAAAATTCAGAGAGACTTAGAGCCATAGCAAAAGAAGATTTTATTTTTATATCTTACCTGGAATAAACACTGCCCTTCTCTAACAGTAAAAATACCAATTACTGTCCCATTGGGCAGAGCTACTCCAGAATGCCCAAGCTCTTTTTGGGAACTGTCTTCAGGACTTGGAACTCATCCTTGGCAATATTTTCTCAATGGTGCCAAATCTTATTTTGAGGATAGAATGGAATATTAGAAATAGACACAGCATATTCAGTCAAGTCTAGCACCTACTATAAACCAACACTGAGAGTAACCTTTTCTGTGGAACACACAGGCACTGATTTTCTTCAGCGTTTGTAAGGTGCCGACACCAAGAGAGGTAGTAAAGGCAGAGCCAATGTGACTCTCTAATCACTCAAGGAGTGAAGCACACTATGATGAAAAAGACAGCGACGTGAGCAAACGTCTTTTTGCTAAAAGGGAATTTGCGTCTCCAAATTTCTGTATACAATTATAAGAAGTCTAACAAAGTGATCCTCTCAGTTACATCGGCTGAGATCCAAGGCACCTGGGTTGACCGCCATGGCTAACGGCTCTTGATTAACATAGATGGTTAGACTTATACTTTTTAAAAATATGCCAATCATAATACTTTGATTAAAAATACGTCAACTGTATTCCAGGATGGTAGCAGTGGTGGCAGCAAAAACTTTTACTCTCTCCAAATCTGCACATGAAAGAACAGAGCGACTAAACAGCAAAACTGAAAACCCACAGACAACATTTAGCAAAAAAAACTAAGTGAACAGATATTCCCCAAATACACACACACACACACACACACACACACACACACACACACACAACCAGTATTATAGTGTGTCTGTGTGTGTGTTCCTAGCTCTGTCCAATGAAGGGGCCTAGGTAGGTTGGCCAACCCAGGAATGCAGTAATGAGTACCACTAGCCCCCAGGTTGTAATCGAATTCCATGCCCCAGCCAGGAAATATTTAAGATGAGTATGGAACATCTTGTCATAAGAAAGGAAAGACAGAATCTACAACTACTAAGTCATTCAAAAAGATACCAGATGCTAACCTGAAGAGGGTCCCTCTGACCCAAATGGGGCAATTTAAACTTTAAAAAGAATTAAAATTGCAATTGATTGAAATTCATCAAATATATTTAAATACATGTCTTTATAATGACATGAAAAAGACAGGGTGCCCATTCTTCACCTTGAAACCTGGTGAATAGGTGGAAATAGTCAAGCATTTACCTTGCCTTTCCTATGCAGCCTGTATCATTGGTAACCAAATAAGAGATGAGAGAGAGCATTTCTTTGTGTAAGTATCCCAACTACTGAGTGAAAAAAGAATTGTTAAAATTACAAATCGTCGTGAATTGAGGGCATGAGCACCAATGGCTGCTACTGTCACTAGAAGAGAGACAACGAGGCATTATATGCCCCCTAGAGTACAACACCCTACCCATAGGTCTAGAAACCAAATCTGATTAAATCCTTTGGATCCCACTGCCAATTTGTACAAGATGCAAAGTGCAGAGAAACATGCTGAGCTTCACCTAGAAC